AACGCCGCCCGCCTTGAAAGGTCTTACTTTCAATGAGGATTGCATTGCTCAAAAGAAAAGAAAGATGAAACGGACAATGCAAATGAACACTGAGGGTTGTAACTAACAGTGTGACGCAGGGGACTAATCCTATTTTGCTTAAACAATGAAAAGAAAAAGTGACGCGAGAATACAATGTAGAGGTATAACGCGGAAATACAATATAGAAATGTAACGCAAAAATACAATATGAAAATGTAACGCTAGAATACAGTATAAAAATGTGACGCATGAATATAATATGAAAATGTAACGCAAGAATATCTAAGAAACGAGGGTTTCACGCGAATGAGTATTATAGATTCAAGGCGTTTCGAGTGGCAATATTGCGAGCCTGGACAAGGGCCTCGTGAGAGAGGTTTTAGCGGTTTTCACGGTAGCCGTACGCACGACACCATCCACGCCCACATGCACTTCTATTACCCGACCCAGTAACCAATGTAACGGTGGCAAATCTTGCTGCCTTACAAGGACAAGTTGCCCGGGTTTTAGTTGAGTGCCCTTGTCCATTCTCCATTTAGGACGCGCTTGTAAAGAGTGAAGATATTTATGGCTCCAACGGCGCCAAAAATGCTGCTTAAGTTGCTCAATCCGCTGCCAGCGTATTAAGCGGTTTTCCTGTATATCAGTTAAGTCATGAGAAGGGAGACTGTTCATAGTGGTACCAATCAGAAAGTGACCTGGGCTTAAATACGCTAAATCATTTGGATCTGCACTCAAGGCGGTGAGTGGTCGTGAATTCAGGATTGACTCGATTTCGCAGAGTATTGTTTGCATCTCTTCGAAAGTTAAGTGAGCTCTACCGACGACGCGGGTCAAATGATACTTTACGGACTTCACCGCGGCTTCCCATAAGCCACCGCAGTGAGGAGCATTAGGGGGTATGAACGTCCATGACGTTTGCTGAAGTCGAAAGAACTGTTTGACATCGTCCAATGCTTGTTCCTTATTTAGGAAGTCAGACAGCTCCTTCAATTGATTTTGTGCACCAACGAATGTTGTGCCATTATCGGAATAGATGTGAGAAGGCTTGCCCCTACGTGATATGAAGCGTTTGAACGCAGCTATGAACGCTTCAGAAGTCAAATCGCTCACGAGCTCCACGTGTACCGCCTTGGTTGCGAAACAAACGAAAATGGCCACGTAGGCCTTGTGATTCCTGGCATTTCGCCGTTTGCCTTCCCGTAAGACAAGCGGTCCAGCATAGTCTACACCACAATGCGAGAATGGTTTGGAAGCTGTTACACGACCCGGGGGCAATGATCCCATTAATGCTTCGGAAATAACTGGTTTGACCTTGAAGCATTTAATGCAATTTAAAAGGATTTTACGCGTCGTTGATCGCAAGGACAAGGGCCAAAAAAGTTCCCTGACTGCGGCCATGGTAGCTTGCACTCCTGCGTGCATGTAGCGAAGGTGCTGTTGAATAATAATTCGTTTGGTCAGCTCGTGATCCTTGGGTAGGAGAATTGGGTGGCAAGCGTCAAATGGTAAGTCGGCGTTCTTCAGGCGTCCACCAACCCTGATTATTCCCTCGTCATCTACGTACGGATTTAGCGATTGAATTCTGCTTGACGAATGAACTAGCTTGCCCCTCCTTGTACTCTTCGGAGAAGGATTGCCGTTGTACCAATTTAACCATTAGATGTAAGGCCTTGTTTATTTCTTCGTGCGATACGAAAGTCGTGGACGGTCTTGCGTGCACCTTCAGAAATCTTAGACCATACGCTAAGATTCGACAGACCTTGTCCAAGTTAGAGCGCCTGTCCAGCAGTGAGTTTACAATATTGCAATTAAGTGTAGTTACGGCAGTACAGGTTTTCCGCAGTTCCGGTGCGTCGTCGTCCAAGCTAGGATAATTGTTGTCGGGCCAGTGACTGTCGTCATTCTGTAAGAAGCTGGGACCGCTCCACCACATACCTGCATTGATTAATTCGCGCGGATTTAAACCTCTGGATAATATGTCGGCTGGATTCTGGGTAGATGGCACGTGACGCCAGTTTTCAGGATGAGTTAGTCGTTGTATCTCGCCTATTCTGTTTGCCACAAAAACGGACCATTTACGAGATGATGAGCCGATCCAATTAAGGGCTATAGTTGAGTCGGACCACAGAAATGTTGGAACATCCGAAATGTCTATTGAGATTTTGATCTTCCCGATTAACCGCGCCAGCAGCAGTGCTGCGGATAATTCCAGTCGAGGTATTGATAATGTTTTCATGGGAGCGACCCGGGATTTAGAGCAGAGTAATGCGATGAAATAGTCATTGGGGCTGGTCTCCGTTCGAATGTATACACAGGCTCCGTAGGCGTCCTTGCTTGCGTCACAGAAGCCGTGTATCTGCATGTGTTGTCGACTCGTACCAGGTTTAACGCATCGTTGGATGGACAATTGGTTTAACTCCTCAAGCTGCGATTTAAATGCAATAAAACATTTGTCAAATAAACTTGTAGGATCGGAAATAATTAGAAATTGGTGACGGAATTAATCACCGACGACGTAATTTACACGACAAAAATCTTGGTTTATTAATTAATTTGATTAAAATAGTTACAGGTTACAGTGTAAGAAAATGGACAACCGACACAACCGGCAATTTTAATTAGAGAAAATTTATTCTTGTTACAGTTACAAGTTTCTGTTTAATAAAATTGGTTTAAGGGACAAGTAAAGTCATTATTGCCTAATTACTACTATTTTAGCGATAGATAAGTAATGTCGATATAAAAATACTATTTTGACATAAAACTGCCTTAAAAAAGAAAACAATTTGTATAACTTTGTTCGTTAAATTATAATATAAAATTATATTTTAAAAGCTATTTAGAATTTAAGAATGTATATTTTGGATTGTAAAATGTAAAGAAAGTTTATACACTTACAATCCAAACAACAAAATAATACGTTTCTTTTCTTTACTATCAGAAATAATTACCC